GCTGTTGTAATCCTTATTGTGGTGGATTACATAAGGCCTATTAATAACGTGAAATCCGTTTGAAGACACTGTAATGTTCCGACTTGCATTAAACAACATCATACATTCGAGTTCCCAAATCAGCGCCTAGCCTCCCCCACCTCCTACCCACCCAACTATCAAACCTCAACGTTTGAGCATCGTGGGATTCCACACCTAAACACTGTCGACTAGCATTCTCTCCCCACTCCCCCTCCACCATCCCCCCACTCCCTCCTCCCTTCCCCACCTCTTCCCTTCATCCCTCCCCAAGACTAACGTCAGTGGGCATTCCATCCCATCATTGCAGCTTCCCACAGAACCCCCAACCCCTCCCTATTCTACCCATGGTGACAAATTGGACTACTGTAATGAACACTCCACCAGAACCGACTACATGGCTTCTCCCCTTGTATTTAGAGTTAGCAGTAGTGTTGTGATAGCACAGTGAACTTACCAAAGACCAGACTTGACCATCACTGAAGCGTGGATTTAAACATTCTGGAACTTCAGTGAATATTCTTTGTAAAAAAATAAATTTTAAATGAATTATTTATAGGAGATAAATATGTCGTAACTGAAAATTGTCAGAAATATGTAAAAACAGTGGAAAACCATATATTTTGATTATTGGCGAGGCTAACCACCTATAAACAATTAATATTTGGCGATTGGCATAAGTCCTGGTAAAATGAACCAACAAGTCAAAAGCTAAAAATGATCAAATCATCAGTTTATCATGGTCACCATCAAAACAATCCTCTCGACATCACAAAACTATTCTGAATAGATCTAAGAATTGGCCATATCGCGTTGGCCGCATAGCCCAGCTCATGTCTTCCCCTAATGGAGCCCCCACCTATATGCTCCAACTGCCAAACACAAATAACAGTACAACATATTCTCATTGACTGCCCTATTTATAATGGGTATCAAACAGTAATGCTTCACTAACCCTACAATGTAAGATATCTTAGCAGACCCCCAAAACTTTCGAAGTTCAGTTTTGACCTTTTGAAATGCTGTAATCTCCTCCAAACAATATAACTTACTAAATTATAGAAACACAAATATATGTTAACTAATCCCTCTGGCGGCCTAGGAGGGGCTTAAATGGGTTGTGGTGATTGGTTAAACAATCTTGATGATGATGATGGGCCATGGGTGGTGTTCACTCTACAGTAGCAGGGGTGGTGGTGGAGGTTTGGGGGAAAAAATCACTACAGTTCACTATGAATACATGAAATAGGAAGGGTTTTGCAGGCGTTGATCAAAAAGATTTTAAACGTTATATAAGGTAGCAATACTAACCTAGGTGTTACTATATCCATTAATTTACTCTAGTATGTAAAAAGCCTGCATCAGTTACCACAATATTACTCTGCCATTTCAGATATGCCTGCAGAGACTGGCGAGCAATTTCGTAGGAAGTGATTGCTGAGCAAAGGCCAAATCATGTCGAGGATGTGGAGCGGGGCAACTGTGCGAACATTGCTCTCGAGTGGGGGAGGGCACCAAAGGCGATTAGGAGGTGGATCGCGATTGGGAGGAAAGAGGGGCTCAGTGGAGCGAAACCTGAAGCAGGAGGCCACGAGTAGCGTCGGCAAGGATGGATGCCATGATAAGTGGCAGCTGCAGCGGCATTCCAATCACGGGCATCAGTGGAGCATACACAAGAAATCTGGGCCTCAACTGCATGCATATGGCGGCGCTGCGACGCGCGGGATCCAGCTGCCATATTCCAGCTCACAAAGGGTGGCTAACACCTACTCACAAGGAGTGTCGACTCGGCTTTGCATTGGAACACCTTCACATGGAGAAGAATACTGGAGAACCATTATATTTACCGATGAAAGCGATGTTCAGGTCAGTGGGGCGAAGCAAGGCAGTGCTGGCTGACCCCCAACCCTGCAGCTACCATGAAACACATTCAACATGGCGCGGTGGTGGTAGGGTGTCAGTGTCATTCTGGGGGTGGATAAGGCCACATGGGCCAGGTGAACTGGTCCAAGATCAATGGCGAGCAGTATGGGTATACCTGGAACAAGTGCTAACTCCTCACACAGTCCGTGCTATGGCGGTTCCAGCCCCACTACTCAGGCTGGTTCATGACAACAGTCCATTCATACCAGCAACATAGTGAGACTACCTCCAGGATCACCCTGAAATTAGGGTCATCGACTGTAACACTAGGATGTGATATTAATCCGATTGAACATATTTGGGCCATGATGGCGTGGATGTGGGGCGAGCCTGGTGTGCAGCAATAGAGGCCAAAAGCTTCGGCGTGTGGGAGGTATCGTCGGCGACCAGGGTGTGTGCCTGAAGCTGGTGGAGCTCCATCCTAATAAGCCTTGATGAAGTCACAGGAGTACGGCTGGAACAGTAGGACTATTACCCCGAATGTACGGCTGGGGCAGTTTGGTTTTGGTATTTGTTTGTAAATACAATTAATATATATTAACTCACCTACAGTGTTATCTTAAATCCATGTCATAATGATGTCTTAAAACTATATAAGCATGAAAATTCATAACAAAGTAACTTAACAGACACAAATTATGTATTGTGTGGTATACAATAGTCTGCCTGCTGCGATAGGTGTTTTGTCGCACCTTTTAATGCAATTTATCAGACACATTTACCTTAAAACGGAAACCGCTCATGATGTTCAGCGCACAATGTTAGGCCCAACCTGAGCACACTCCAAAATATATGGAAACTTGTACGTTTGGGGTGTTTAACACTGGGGCTAACAGGGACATGCAACTGCAGATGCTACTGTGGGTGTTGTTCAGTCATGGGTTGAGAGAACCCATGCAAGACCATGAATAATGCTACCACGGCCACCTCAAGAACACTACGAGGAGAGGTTGGCCAAACCTTCTTCTCTATCAACAAAAAGAGCTGAGAATGGGATGTATAGAATACGTCAGTGTGGTAACCTGAAACAAAAGTTCACATGGATTAGATGTGGGTCACTGGTGGTGGTGGTTGTAGTTGTGGAAAAGGCCAGTCCACTTTGCCCCCCCTCCCTCACACACACACACACAGACTTTCAAGGTCATGAGGGGCAGTGGTTGGAAGCGTGGAAAAGTGGAACAGTCACTAGATTAGGTCTGAATACTATTTTACAATACTGATAACTTTTCACTCCACTCTTTTTAACATAAGCATATAATTATATAATATTGCATATTATCACAAATATTTATTAAGCCAAAGGATGGGTGGAATATAAATATAATAGTACCATAATCTCTCTTTGTCGAATAACAACAAAATTGTGGCGTGGTGGATGGTAAGACTAACTGACCCAAGGCCCTTCACCCTGATCCTTGCATATTTCACTTTTATCATACTATATTCCTCTTTAAAAGTATCATTGTGACCTGAGCAGCTTAATAAACTTTTTAGGGCTTTTTGTTCCTTGACTTCTGGCCTTCAAAAGCTGGCTGTGGTGGCGTGGACTTAAAGGCAGCTTGAGGGGTATGGTGGTGCAATGGCAAGTAGCCTGCCTCTCATCAGCACCCACCTCCTCTATTACCCCCCACACACACACTACAGTGAGGCTGACATCTGTTGGCGATAGCTGTTCCGAGCAAGGATATTCGAATCCTCACTGTGGCTGGGTAGTGGACACGACTTTTGTGCATGATAGTACTTTGTACAATACAGTACAGTATAGTGTACCTGTATATGATAATTCTATTGATTCTGTATATCTACATTTGATTTTCATTGCCCACAACTAACAGTAATTGTGATCAGCTGTTGTGTACAGCAAACAAACATTCCCTTTTTTCCTATGTTGGCAGACCTGGAACAAGTCCAACGCAAACACGTGAAATGATCTTGAATACAGCCGGTAAACTCCTTCTCGCCATGTGACATCATGCAGCGTGATGGAGGATGTCACTGAAATTTGGTACTCTTTCTATTGTTCTCTTCATAATATACTTGTTACTAGAGCATTTCATAGGTTCAATTTTGCTTCCCCAAGTATTGAAATCATCAGAGATCAACAAAGAAAGGTTATTATCCCTAAAACATCATAATATTAATTACTAAAGAACTGTAGTTATTCTTCAGGTGTCTGTCTGCCAACCAATCAGCTGCCATCCTACAAACTGACCCTAGGCCATTGTTGCAGGCTTTGGCTGTACAGACTGTAGTACCTGTAGCCCCATCTTCTTGTATTCAGAAAAATAATATATATATATATATATATATATATATATATATATATATATATATATATATATATATATATATATATATATATATATATATATATATATATATATATATATATATATATATATATATATATATATATATATATATATATATATATATATATATATATATAAAGGAAATGTAAATGTACTGCATAAGGATACAAAGAGATTGAAAATACTTTGAATGAAAAGGTACCTGGATGTTTTTGTTATGTGAAAACAAAGCAGAAGGATAATGGGGAGAAGTGATGGGACTAAATTTTACACCTGGGGTGCACTACCCACTAAAAGGGTCTTGGAGTGAGCCCTACGTGTTATAGGATGATCAGTGAAAAAATAATTCTGGAAGGGTATAACTTAGTCTTGTGGTATGTGTCCAAGCACAGAATTATGGCATTTACACATCTAACTTAGCTACACCTAGCAGGATTTCATAAACCCCATTTTATGTACCAATAAAAACTATTTTTTTACTAACAACCCAACCTTATTCAATCAAACAACAAGCCCCCCTGAAGGATTTCCCAAAGGTCTCCTGTTGTGTATTTGACCTCTTGCCTACATCATAAGATGTCACAAACTGAATAACTGGTCTTACATGAAATTGTGATACAAAACACTATTGGGTGGAACATACTGTAATTTATTCAAAAGATATGACCGTTTCAGAGTTGCACAAGGTGAAGTGTCCACATAGCAAAACAATCGTGTAATTTGGAAAACTACATGTTAATAACTTACTGTTTGTACAGATTTTTCCAGTTCTTGAGGCACAGCAAATGTTGTGATGCTTGTCTGCCCCAGTGGCCAGGCACCCGCCTGCAGCAAAGACATGGTTACACAATTAGTTTTTAACATTTCTCCTTGACATTATAAACATTTCAATACCTCAAATAAAATCACAAATACTGTACCAGTAATCAACAACATTATGAATACACAAACTAGCCTGGGCTTTACTTCTTACACCACAACAATATCCCAGCTCTGCTTACTGTTGTGTCATATATACCATATAATGTGGCCTATAAGTTGATCTTTCAAGCTCCAATTTTTTTGTTCAAAACTAAGGGTCATCTTATACAACAGGTATAAAATGTCAACCTCTAAGTATGCTCCACCACAAGCATCAGATTTTCACTTTACCTTACTGGTAGGTCTCAAGTCACTTTCCCAGCACTCAAACAAGTTTTACCTAACTATAGCATTTTTCCAGAAGGGTAACTGTCACTGAACTCGGCCTCAGGTCAGTGATTACACTAGTCATACCGACATCTGTCAAAACATTAAAATATCTTTTGGTGTGAACTACAGTGCTTTACAAACAAATGTTACTAGGGCAGTTACTTGTAGTATTTGTTGTTAAATTATTTAAAAATGCAATTATGGTACAGTATATTCATGCAATGCACTTGGATTTTGTAGAAGTTTACATGAATGTGGTGTAAAGTTACAATACAGGCACCTGGGAACAGCTGCCTGGCCTGCTGCAGCTTGGCCAGTGTTGCCATCACCGCCAGTGATTCAGAGGCAGAGTCAGCAGACCCATATAATGAATGATCTTTTTTGTCTGATAATGATGAACCAGAATTTGAAGGATTTTGAAACTTGGACAGTTTACTTTGGTATTAAATATTAACTTAACTTTTAAAATTCTTTTATTTTGTCCATTAATAATATAAAATACATAAAAGGTCTAAGTCAAAGATGAAATTCGCTTTCGAATGAAGTTTTTTCATTATTTCTTTGTTTTGTACCAAACTTAAACAAACAGAAACAAATGACACCAAACATATAGCACAATAGGTAATGAACTACAGTTTGTACGGCTGGACTTATCCCAAATCATTTATATAACTGATAAAACTCGAAATACTGTAAATATGTGCAGTCTGTGGGGAGGTAAAACACTCGAGGGAACAGCCACTGGACTTGGCGGCCACATTGATGGGTGATCAGCTGGACACTTGACTCGTACTGCCAGTACAGTAGAGTTCGCATTAGAATACTATGACACACAAATTAACTATAACTTGTCCATCATTGGTTGAGATTTTCATTCATTTGCACCATACTTCTTTACACTTGATGACAGAGGATGAAAATGTTAAACCTCTACATCGCTTCTTAATATTTCGTAGCATATATTATTACTTAAATCTTGTCACAATGTAGTGTTTAAGATGGGGAGATGCCAATATAGTTATATTTCCACTACCAGGAAAATTGTGGAAAATTCAGGGGATGAAGGATTTTTTTCCGGCTTTGAGAGTCATCTTGTTATTCAGAAATCTCTTTATCCCGGAAGTGCTCTACATCAATTGTTCCGGCTAACGGAATTATTGCCGTACTGTATTTCATTTTGGTGCTGGGTACCGTATATACTCGTCTATAATCCTGATTATTTGACAACAAATCGTTAATTTATGATATTCCTCGTTTATAGGTCGACCCAAGTTTTTGAGGGTAATGGAACAACAAAACCTTCAGTAAAAACACTCTACGTCCTATAAACTGAGGCTTGCCGTGCCTGAAACACCGAGCGCCGAAGGCAAATTGTTTACCATTTATTATTACGGCACTTTACACTGAAACGCGGGTAGTTTCAACAGAAATATTGTATATTTCCATTCAAGTATTTATTCAAGTCAATTAGGAGGGAATATTATTGTAATACAACAGTTTTTTAACTGAAAACCATTCGAAAAGCGATTACGGTAACATCTTTTGAACGAAAGAAAGCGAGTCATTTTTTTTTTTATTGGGCACTCCCCTACATCCTTGTGTAAGGTGAAGCACAGAAGTGTTTACAATGCCCAATAGGGAAGCATGCTAAGTTCATGCTTGCCTTTATGTCTCATGAGTTAATGGCGTAGAAGCCTGAAGAGTCAATGGTTTATGTCATCAAGTTATTGGAAGCTCCAACAACTTGTCCCTGAATACGAATTTTCAACTTTCGATTTACACCAGGTACCTACTTTACTGCTAGGTGAACAGGCACTAATGGGGGCTAGGAAGTATGTCCAAACAACTTCCACCGGCCTGGGAATCGAACACGTGACATCTCGCTTGCGAAGGCAAGAGCGGTACCAGTCTACCACCAGCACCCCCGAGAAAGTCATTGTTTTCGTCACGATTTTATCCCACTTTCCACTGTAATACGTACGTCATTTCAACAAAAATATTACATTTCCGTGAATGTATTATATCAAGCACAGTATGAATAGAATATCAATAATATAACAGCATTTTAACCGAAAACTATTAAAAAAACACGTAACATCTCTTGAACATCGGACGGTTAGGTAAAGTCTTTTGTTTTCGTCATGTAGTTTATCCTAATTTACATTGAAATACATCACGTTTCAGCAAAACTACTATTTATTTCTGAGAATATGGAAATGTAATATTTTTGCTGAAATGACGTATGTATTACAGTGGAAAGTGGAATAAAATCGTGACGAAAACAATGACTTTCGCTTTCTTTCGTTCAAAAGAAGTTACCGTAATCGCTTTTCGAATGGTTTTCAGTTAAAAAACTGTTGTATTACAATAATATTCTATCCTAATTCACTTGTGATGTAACAGTTTTTTAACTGAAAACAAATTGAAAAACACGTGTACCATCTAGCTGATACGGCAGAGCCCTGGTCGCGGATGCTTTGTTTTTGCATCAGCCCTTCTTAAGCAGCCTTTAATTTTAGCGTACATTGAAATTGTGTTTACCGGTATACAGTAAAACCTTGATTAACCGTCAATCTCGAATTCCTATTTTTTTTTTTTACGGGGATTAGCCCACCCGGGCACAGGTCACTGACCCACATCAGGGCCTGGGGGGCGATAATGTAATGATAATAATAATAATAGGAATAAATAACCATAAAGAAATGCAAAAATTAAAAAAAAAAATCAAGAGTGAGAAACAATATATGTATGTTGTGTTGTCAATAGTAAGAGAAGCAATTGAAACCCTGCAATTGTGTGTAAATGAGGTAGAAAGTCAAATCAGCAACCTGGGACTTGGTCACAATTTTTGTGATGACATACAGTACTATATGTTCTTTGACTTTTCCTTTTTTTATTCACGGTTTCTGTAATGGTTCATATTTATTTACTAAAGTGGTTCATGTTTTAAAGCAAATTCTATTGAAATATGAATGGCAAAAGAACAAAAATGAATAGAGGGAATTAAATGAGGTAGGTTAGGGAAAGGTACTTTGAAAATGTATGTTTTATTTCCGTAGACTGTATGTATTATTAACCGACCTTTTGGATTATCCGTCAGCCCCTTCCCCCCATATGTGGTCGGTTAATCAAGGTTTTACTGCATTCTTATTTTCTTGCTTCTTATTGTCCAGAAATATGACAAGTTTGTATATAATACAATGTTACGGTACTTTTAATTTACAAGTATTCATTTTTAAAAAATACAGAAAACACCAAACAAATACCAGTACGGATATTTGCGTGACTCTCCCGCCAAAAACGACCAAACAGCTGGTACTCTCTCCCTCAGCCCTACCAAAAATAGCCCAACGACATCTTTCTTGTTTATTCTCTTCCAATTTCTCACTTTAACTGGTATTTTCTATTTCATATTGCCTACATCAGATAAACTACAGTAATTGAGGTTAGACACTGCTATAAATTTGATTACCGGGTACTGGCAGAATGCCGTTAGAACCACCTGACCCTACCAACAGTGTTGCAATTGAGACACAGCATATTTTTTTTTTTTTTTTACATTTTTGGAGTCTCCATTTCTGTTAATTTTTTTTTATGTGGGGTTTGCACAATAGTAAACTGTTTTACCTACTGTATTGTAAAACGATTTGGGAAAAGAAATACAGTAGTCGGTAACTTAAAATTTTAAACGGAAAATCTTGAAACTGGCAACTATGTGTAGATGACCTGACTCGCATCATATTATGTCATCACGAGTAGCCTACGTGTATATTTCAAATTGTGTCTTGTTATAGTGTAAACGTGCTTGACCCATATTCTCTTCAGCATGGATTCAAGAAGAAAGTTCACAGCAATGTTCAAGCTCAGAGTGATTGAATATACAGAACAGACTAACAACTATGCAGCAGCAAGGGAATTTAAGGTTTCCGAAAAAAATGTTAGAGACTGGAAAAAGCTCTTTGCACAACTTAAGCTTATGCCGAAAAACAAATGTGCTAACAGAGGAAAGTGTAACAAGTGGCCACAGTTGGAAGTTGAAGTGGCAAAGTATGTCAGTGAAAACCGACAGAATGGATATGGTGTTTCCCAAGGATCAATTCGAATCTTTGCCTTGAAACTAGCAAGGAAATTAGGCATCACAGATTTTAAGGCGAGTCATGGTTGGTGCACAAGATTTATGAAAAGAAATGATTTTGTACTGAGACGGAGAACGAAAATATCACAGCGTCTTCCACAAGAACTTGATGACAAGGTTATTGAATTTCATAGGTTCATAATCAAACACCGGAAGGAGAACTCATATAGACTTTCGTGTATTGGAAACATGGACGAAACGCCCATGAATTTTGATATGCCAGTCAGTCAAACAGTGAATAAAGTTGGTGAAAAAACAGTTTTAGTTAAAACTACTGGACATGAAAAATCAAGATTCACAATTGTGCTATCATGTATGGATGACGGCACAAAGCTGACGCCTATGGTAACATCTAAAAGGAAAAAAATTCCAAAGCAAAATTTTCCAAAAGGTATAATCATCCATGTGCACGAGAAAGGATGGATGGATGAAGGCGGCATACAAATATGGCTTAAAAAAGTCTGGAACTTTCGACCAGGAGGACTGCGCAAAGAAAAAA